ACTTGTCAACTCTTCCCTCATCAGCGCCAAGAAGCATTTTATCACAGGAATTTATGGTTAGTTGTTTGTGTTTAGAGGATAAAAATTCTAAACACTAAATTTCAGTAACATTTATATCAATTTTGCTCAATGTAAGATAACATTAAATTATTTTCTTTCCCTGTAGTATTGTTTTCATATTGTTGGAATCTAAGGTTCGTAATAATTCAAGACATTTCTCATACGATTTTAAATTTTTAATATATATGTAGTATTTATATCATTCACTGAGTCCACATAAGCCATAAACACCACACATCTTTGTAGAATTCTTTTCCTGTATTGATTCATTGACAATAAAGAAAAATAAAAAATGAAAAGTTCTTCAGTTATTTTAACAAATAATTGCCTCCGAAGGGTTAGCCTTGTTTGCATAGTAAAGTGATCTTTTTTCAAGATTTGCTTTCCGGCAGGTGAGGGGAAGGGAAAAAGTACCTTTTCATAGTTGTTTCATTTTGTTGTGATCTCTTCTTCTTTGAATTCGCTGCAACGATCTTTGTTTCTGTCATTTTCCTGTTTCTACAGCCAGTTCTCATGGTTCCCCTTCGCAAGAGAGTCTCTCTCTCTCGAAACATCCTGACCTGCAATCACTTCATACTTGTTAACGTCATCTGACCTTACTACTCAATCCCCCCATTCAAAACAAATGCCTCATCGCATGTAAGAAACGTTACAGCTACGAGGAGCGATGAGAGTCGGCTATTTTGGCAGGTTGCTATGTTTCTTCACCACTGCGTTTTTTCACTATTTTCATATAGACCATAATGCACCTCGATCTTCCGCACCCCTCCCCCCCCACCCCGGGCCCCCCACTAAAAATAAATAAATAATAACAATTCATAACCATTATTCCAGTTTCTCCTGGGTATTACAGACACCTCAAGAGAAATCGAAGTCAATAGTTATGCAAAATTTAGTTGGCAAACATGGGGAATCCGACAACTGACTGGTTAAATCGTGGTTTTTTCCGGTTCACTTTCTAAAAAATCTGAATATTAAGCATCTTATCCATACAATTACCATTGAAATCCTGCCTTTATGACATTTACGATTCTACGACAGTTTAGTAAGATTTAAAAAGCTTCGGGTGACATGTCTCTCGTGACTTATTTGAACGATGACGTCATGTGACGCACCTAAAAATATTCGTTTACATTCGTTTCCTTGTTGCTCCGTCCCACTTGTCTGAGTTGGGATTTTGGTGGGAAAGGGCAACACTTGCCTTTATCAGTCAATTGCTGTGTGCTTTCATTTGACAAATTCTGCTACACACGGATACAGGTTAGTGTTAAAGATCTTGATCCTTCAATAATTCTTCAAAGTCTAAACGAATGTAAAAAAGAAATTGAGCGGTATAGACATGAATCTTGAATGTCGTCTGGTTTATGGCTTCACGGTTTATTCGTGTCTGACACTGAATTTCCGATCTACACTTCCAGTTTTCAAGCTACTTTTTATGGTCTTATGTTACCACTGTTTTACCTGTGTTTGTTTATTGTTTCGGGTATTTCGTGTTACAAATCATGTCGCAAGTCGAGCCTGGAGGCATTGAAGGTATTTGTTGTAGAACTGTCGTAGACCGGCCATATTGGAATTGGAGCGTGTTAGCTCAAGATTACCTTGTTGTGATTTACTACTCCGTATACGCGTTTGTGAGTCGCTGGTAAACTCTGTCCTTGACGTCAGTTGAACAATCATTTGGATTCTAATCCAAAAATGTTAAATACTGGTAGATTTAGTGGTGCATCTACGTTTGCAAAGGATTCCGAAAGGGGGCGCACAACGACAGTTGGCATGCAGTTCTGAAGGTTAATTGTTCGCACCTCACTCCCCAGGTTATGCTATTTTTCGCAGAGAAAGGAAACCTAAAATTTTTGGATTCGCAAATGCGATGGAAAGAGGAATCGGAAAAATTGCCACTGTTGTAAAACTTGAACTTGCATCTAAAATTTTCGGGAAAATGATACCGAAGCCTTGGGTAATTTCGAAAACAGTCCAGTTGCCTTAGGATAACCGAACATAGATAAATTTTACTAGCGGTGATTAGAGTGTATTTCTAAAGATCCAAAAGTACTCTGGATAGCCTAAAAAGCGTTTTCAAGTCATTTGGGAGGTAAGCGTCGTTTGGTGCCCCTGTCCGATATGTGAGTGTTATAGTTAAAACTTCGTGTTTGTAGGTGTTTTCCCCGTTCAAAAAAATCTCACGTTGGTGGCCATACTGAATTCAGATCTACGTTTACACGAAGCCATGCGAAGACTTGCATGAGATAGTCACAAAAGCAATGAAATACTCTGAAAAACAATGAAAGTCAAATATATTGTCCTCAAATGACTGGGGCCTTCCTCTGACTGGAGTCGAGATTTGCAGTCCAAAAAATCGAAGCTCAAAACTATCTGGGCTGAATATTTTTCTATTTAGTTACGGATTCCTTTTTTTCCTTAACTTCTCAGTTAACATCAGACAACAACAGACTGTAATTAAAAAAAAGTTGTGATGATTTCCTTGTGTAAAATTTATTATCGATTGCGTGATCTAGAATCCTGACGTGACTAATTCTTCCTAACAATGATGTTATCCTCCCTTTTCTAAAACCCTGACTACTTCCTTTTTCGCTTTCAATTTCCTCCCGTCGTTTGCTTTTTCTGAGCCCATCGTCTTTCTTTCTGTTAAATGATTTGCGAGTGTATATACAGGTTAGTCTTTCAGTGTCTGCTTTGAAGTTGCTAATTTGCAAAGATTAAGCGACTGTTGTAGAGGCTTCGACATGAATGCTGTCTTAGAGGCTCGGTCAATTTATTGTTAAACTTATATTTCATAATTGTAATCATTCTTATCAATGAGTTCGTGTCCTAGTTATTGTAAGCGCGCAGCTACAGCACTATCATTGTTTTACTCCTTTACTGTGACTTTGCGTGCTTGAGTCAACAAAATGTTCAACCCTTGTTTGTACATTCAAACTTAGCGTATTGCTTTGCTTATCTAGATGTAATTATTAGGTAACAACGGACATTTCTAAAGTGGCATGAGTTACCCGTACCGCGTCTAGTTGTTATTTTGTGCACTTTCTACACCCCATTGTACAGAGCTCCATTAACTGTCCGATCATTTTTTTATTAGAATTATTAAATTGGGTAAATGTTGCTAAAATGTCTATTCCAGCCTTAAAGTGATTTATCCAAACAACGTGCCACGTTTAAAAGGCAGGTAAAATTTAAAATCTTGTTTTATCAGCACCGTGGATATACTTAACACTAACTGCGACGGTATTGTCTGATTGCCAAATAAAGTCTTACCTTTTTTGAGACTAAAAGTTATTAACTCAATCCGAATTCTGGCCAACCCTGCGCACGCCCTCCGCCACGGTCTTCGACGGCATCACTAAAACATGGAATCCGGAATCCGGAATCCGGAAACGGAAACGGAATCATGGAAACAAAAACGGAAACGGAATACGGAATCAAATATCAATGATAGAAAATTAAACCGAATTAAAGGATTTCACATTGCATTGTTTTAGTTTTCTTGGCAGTTCCCTTAAATATACTCTTGTTATTGTGTCTTGATAAGGTTTGTCGTAGTGTGGGTTATTGCAGTGAAAGGCCGATGAAAGTAATTTTACGAGTAATTTTGTTCACGAGTTTATGGGTTGAATAATACAGTTAAAAATTACCTTTGTAGCTAAATGTCAAGAATAGTAGTAGTTGGCCTCAGATTACACCACGTGATTGTCCCGAAACTGAATCACTCAACACATGACCGAACCGTGACGTGACCACAGTTCCGGTGTTGTAGCAATAAGTTCAACTTTTTCGCCAAGCTAAATACTGATGGGATACTGGTGTACCGGTAATTGAGTTTACGCAGAAACTCATCTAGGAGGTTGAACAACCCCTTACGAGTTTCTGGTTTACGTTGACGTCCGTATTGTTGTTGAAGAGGCTTATTAAACATGGCGCATTATTTTGATGTAATCAGTTGCGGAATCAAGCGAATGCGTGCACAATTCTCTCTTCTCTTTGGAATCCACAATGCCATGGTTCTCTTGAGTAAGTTGTCTTGATAAATAAAACTGAACACTGTTGAAGACAACCCAGAAAAGACACTCAGGAAAAACTTGACGGCGACGCCTTTCAGTTATATAAACGACGCCTCTGTCGATTTAAACGAAGTCTGTCTGCATGTAACTCGCCTTTTTCTTAAGGAACTAGTTTTTGTAAGTGACGTTTTTCTCCTTTTTATTTGCTGTCCCATGAGAATTTGCATTCATTGCCGGAAATGGTATCAAGAGTCTTTTCACCGGAATCGACTCCTCTAGTGGTACAGTAGTCTCCTCTACTCAGTTAATTTATTTATTTATTGTGAAAGGTTTGAACCCAGGAGTCATTTCAAAAGTAAGTTGAGTTTGATCATCCGGATGAACGTAGTCCTGAATAGGACTGTTGTTGTTGACAGTGACTGACGTTTCGAGAACCTGTGCGGTAGTCATCTTCAGAGTCAAAGTGAGTTGTATCACGTCAGTTGATGGTATTATACTCTGGTTATTGATTTAATTGGTCAATTACGTCGTGATGTTATTGGTCGTCTGTCAGTTAAGCCTTGATGTTATTGGCTATGAAGACTCGTAATCAGTAATTGGTGCGTTTCGATCCGTCTATTGTCACAGTTAAACAGTCGTCTATTGTTAGTCAAATTGTCATTCTCTCGTAGTTAGTTTTGCTTGATCTCGTCAATTATTCATTTATGTCTTTTTTATCTGTTTATTTATTTTATTGTCATTGTTAATATATATTTTTTTCAAATCGATCGCTTGGAACCTTCTTTCACGGATTCCTTATTCCGTTTCCGTTTCCTTTTTTATTTCCGTTTCCGTTTCCGTTTCTGGATTCCGGATTCCATGTTTTAGTGCTGCCGGTATCAAATCATCAAATCTGAACTTCCTGCATGTGTAATGAGCAGTATGTTTTTATGATAACTTCTCTGCATTTGGTTAGATTATAAAATCTTTAAATGGATAAAATTGCTTTGAAGGCATTTACATCAAATTCAAGAAAACTGACTTGGGCAGAAATTTCTTAACAACCTCGCGTGTGAATCCGCTGTTCATTCCCCATGCAGGAATGCAGAGATGAATCTGATAACTACAGCTACCAACAGATTCAAGTCATTCAAACAAATGGAATCAATATCAGCATGTCCAGCGGATAAACCTTTTGGAATAACTCAGCCTGTTGAACCAGAAACGTTTTTAACAAACCAAAAGCTTTTGCATTACCTGAGGGTACCCTTGCATTCCCAGATAATCATAAGTAATTCTCTGTGTTTACTTTTTATTAAAGATGTATGACAGCTTTGATGTATGGCATCTTCTTTACGGGAACCTCAGTCACGGGATTGCAGAGTAGGTGATTCCCGCAAAGTGCAAGTCACTATTTTGGCTTCTGAATGGGGATCAAGCAAAGGGGGTCTTTCCACCATAAACAGAGAGTTAGCCATTCAGTTGGCCAAATACCCTGAAGTGGAAATCACTTTCTTTTTACCACAATGCAGTAAAGAGGACAAGGAGTTAGCCCTGAGGTATAACGTAAAGATCGTTGAAGCAACCCCCCTGTCTGGCTTTGAGCAACTGGACTGGCTTTGCTTTCCGCCTGAAGATTTGCAAATCGACATTATCGTAGGTCATGGAGTTAAACTCTTCCTTGTGTAAAATTTATTATCGATTGCGTGATCTAGAATCCTGACGTGACTAATTCTTCCTAACAATGATGTTATCCTCCCTTTTCTAAAACCCTGACTACTTCCTTTTTCGCTTTCAATTTCCTCCCGTCGTTTGCTTTTTCTGAGCCCATCGTCTTTCTTTCTGTTAAATGATTTGCGAGTGTATATACAGGTTAGTCTTTCAGTGTCTGCTTTGAAGTTGCTAATTTGCAAAGATTAAGCGACTGTTGTAGAGGCTTCGACATGAATGCTGTCTTAGAGGCTCGGTCAATTTATTGTTAAACTTATATTTCATAATTGTAATCATTCTTATCAATGAGTTCGTGTCCTAGTTATTGTAAGCGCGCAGCTACAGCACTATCATTGTTTTACTCCTTTACTGTGACTTTGCGTGCTTGAGTCAACAAAATGTTCAACCCTTGTTTGTACATTCAAACTTAGCGTATTGCTTTGCTTATCTAGATGTAATTATTAGGTAACAACGGACATTTCTAAAGTGGCATGAGTTACCCGTACCGCGTCTAGTTGTTATTTTGTGCACTTTCTACACCCCATTGTACAGAGCTCCATTAACTGTCCGATCATTTTTTTATTAGAATTATTAAATTGGGTAAATGTTGCTAAAATGTCTATTCCAGCCTTAAAGTGATTTATCCAAACAACGTGCCACGTTTAAAAGGCAGGTAAAATTTAAAATCTTGTTTTATCAGCACCGTGGATATACTTAACACTAACTGCGACGGTATTGTCTGATTGCCAAATAAAGTCTTACCTTTTTTGAGACTAAAAGTTATTAACTCAATCCGAATTCTGGCCAACCCTGCGCACGCCCTCCGCCACGGTCTTCGACGGCATCACTAAAACATGGAATCCGGAATCCGGAATCCGGAAACGGAAACGGAATCATGGAAACAAAAACGGAAACGGAATACGGAATCAAATATCAATGATAGAAAATTAAACCGAATTAAAGGATTTCACATTGCATTGTTTTAGTTTTCTTGGCAGTTCCCTTAAATATACTCTTGTTATTGTGTCTTGATAAGGTTTGTCGTAGTGTGGGTTATTGCAGTGAAAGGCCGATGAAAGTAATTTTACGAGTAATTTTGTTCACGAGTTTATGGGTTGAATAATACAGTTAAAAATTACCTTTGTAGCTAAATGTCAAGAATAGTAGTAGTTGGCCTCAGATTACACCACGTGATTGTCCCGAAACTGAATCACTCAACACATGACCGAACCGTGACGTGACCACAGTTCCGGTGTTGTAGCAATAAGTTCAACTTTTTCGCCAAGCTAAATACTGATGGGATACTGGTGTACCGGTAATTGAGTTTACGCAGAAACTCATCTAGGAGGTTGAACAACCCCTTACGAGTTTCTGGTTTACGTTGACGTCCGTATTGTTGTTGAAGAGGCTTATTAAACATGGCGCATTATTTTGATGTAATCAGTTGCGGAATCAAGCGAATGCGTGCACAATTCTCTCTTCTCTTTGGAATCCACAATGCCATGGTTCTCTTGAGTAAGTTGTCTTGATAAATAAAACTGAACACTGTTGAAGACAACCCAGAAAAGACACTCAGGAAAAACTTGACGGCGACGCCTTTCAGTTATATAAACGACGCCTCTGTCGATTTAAACGAAGTCTGTCTGCATGTAACTCGCCTTTTTCTTAAGGAACTAGTTTTTGTAAGTGACGTTTTTCTCCTTTTTATTTGCTGTCCCATGAGAATTTGCATTCATTGCCGGAAATGGTATCAAGAGTCTTTTCACCGGAATCGACTCCTCTAGTGGTACAGTAGTCTCCTCTACTCAGTTAATTTATTTATTTATTGTGAAAGGTTTGAACCCAGGAGTCATTTCAAAAGTAAGTTGAGTTTGATCATCCGGATGAACGTAGTCCTGAATAGGACTGTTGTTGTTGACAGTGACTGACGTTTCGAGAACCTGTGCGGTAGTCATCTTCAGAGTCAAAGTGAGTTGTATCACGTCAGTTGATGGTATTATACTCTGGTTATTGATTTAATTGGTCAATTACGTCGTGATGTTATTGGTCGTCTGTCAGTTAAGCCTTGATGTTATTGGCTATGAAGACTCGTAATCAGTAATTGGTGCGTTTCGATCCGTCTATTGTCACAGTTAAACAGTCGTCTATTGTTAGTCAAATTGTCATTCTCTCGTAGTTAGTTTTGCTTGATCTCGTCAATTATTCATTTATGTCTTTTTTATCTGTTTATTTATTTTATTGTCATTGTTAATATATATTTTTTTCAAATCGATCGCTTGGAACCTTCTTTCACGGATTCCTTATTCCGTTTCCGTTTCCTTTTTTATTTCCGTTTCCGTTTCCGTTTCTGGATTCCGGATTCCATGTTTTAGTGCTGCCGGTATCAAATCATCAAATCTGAACTTCCTGCATGTGTAATGAGCAGTATGTTTTTATGATAACTTCTCTGCATTTGGTTAGATTATAAAATCTTTAAATGGATAAAATTGCTTTGAAGGCATTTACATCAAATTCAAGAAAACTGACTTGGGCAGAAATTTCTTAACAACCTCGCGTGTGAATCCGCTGTTCATTCCCCATGCAGGAATGCAGAGATGAATCTGATAACTACAGCTACCAACAGATTCAAGTCATTCAAACAAATGGAATCAATATCAGCATGTCCAGCGGATAAACCTTTTGGAATAACTCAGCCTGTTGAACCAGAAACGTTTTTAACAAACCAAAAGCTTTTGCATTACCTGAGGGTACCCTTGCATTCCCAGATAATCATAAGTAATTCTCTGTGTTTACTTTTTATTAAAGATGTATGACAGCTTTGATGTATGGCATCTTCTTTACGGGAACCTCAGTCACGGGATTGCAGAGTAGGTGATTCCCGCAAAGTGCAAGTCACTATTTTGGCTTCTGAATGGGGATCAAGCAAAGGGGGTCTTTCCACCATAAACAGAGAGTTAGCCATTCAGTTGGCCAAATACCCTGAAGTGGAAATCACTTTCTTTTTACCACAATGCAGTAAAGAGGACAAGGAGTTAGCCCTGAGGTATAACGTAAAGATCGTTGAAGCAACCCCCCTGTCTGGCTTTGAGCAACTGGACTGGCTTTGCTTTCCGCCTGAAGATTTGCAAATCGACATTATCGTAGGTCATGGAGTTAAACTCGGTAAACAGGCACAAATCATTAAAAGATCTAAAAGGTGCAAATGGGTTCAAGTGGTGCACACAGACCCAGAGGAACTTGGAATGTTCAAAAACTATTCAGATCCAATTTCAAAAGGCGAGGAAAAGCACAAGATCGAAGTAGAACTGTGTGAAATGGCAGATCATGTTGTTGGGGTTGGTCCCAAGTTGAGCGAGGCCTTTCGCTCCTATCTTCGCAGCTGCCAAAAAGATGACAATGTCCTTGACTTAACTCCAGGAGTATTTGTAGAATTTGAGGCTGTGAAGCAGGCTCTGAACGAAAGGCAACAACACAGTGTCTTGGTGTTTGGTCGTGGAGACGTAGAGGATTTCGAATTGAAAGGATTTGACATCGCTGGGAAAGCAGTTGCTGAGTTAGAAGATACTCGTCTTGTCTTTGTTGGGGCTCCAGATGGAAAACACGAAGAAATAGCAAAACGGTTGACCGCATGTGGTGTCCCTCCAAGTCGTTTGAGAGTAAGAGGATTTGTTCAAGATCGAGAGAGTCTAAGGCGCTTGTTTCAAGAAGTGGATCTTGTTGTCATGCCTTCAAGAACAGAGGGCTTTGGATTGACAGGACTGGAGGCCTTGTCAGCTGGTCTCCCTGTGCTTGTCAGCCGCAACACCGGTTTTGGAGAAGCTTTACGCAGTGTACCTTTTGGATCAACATATGTAGTGAACTCAGAGGAACCGGCAGATTGGACCTCTGCTATCAAAACCATCTGGTTCAAGTACAGGAGAAGTCGGCTTGAGGAAGCAGAAACTCTGCGCGAATCCTATGGCAAGAAATACAACTGGGCCAAACAGATAAAAGATCTCATTGACAAGATGATCAGTTGGGTTTACGGTATGAATGTCAATGTTCTTTTATATGAAAAAAAAAACTATTCATACATTGCAAGAGGAATTATAGAACGTGGACTCTAAGGAGAAATTAAAATAAAAAAACAAAACCAAATTTGAGTAATATCCACTGCCTTTTTTCTCCCGGCTGAGATCTTGAAAAAAGGCGATTACAAAGTTTTATGTTACATGTAGGCAAACGCGGTAAAGTCATATTGACCGAATCCATCTATCATATGCTTTATCCCCAGTTCACTGGCTTATGTGGTTATTCCATGCATCGCATTTACCAAAACAACCCCTTGTTATCTACTCTTTTTTATCAACAGATGATACTTTAAGTTACCAGAGCTCTTCAGAAACAAAGCGCAGAATTTTTCCATCCACCGATAAATCTTCTCAGCGAACGGAGAGGACAACTGTAGACCCTGGAGGTATCACCGATGACTTAATAATAATCAGCATAATACTAGTCTTGAATGGTGTTGCTGGTTAAAAGTGTTCTTTGTTCATTAAAATCGTGAACATTATTTGAATTGGGCGTTTTTTTCTAAGTCCATGGCTTACACGCAAGCTTGAATGAACGATAACTTGCACTTGCAAGTTCACTTGCATGTGCGTACCGCTCAGGCAGAACGGTTGGGTTTGGTTTGTCTTGAACTGGTCTAGGATTTCGCTCTTTCTCCGTATATTAAGTTCACGAACATAAAAACTTCTAGAGATGGAAAAGAAAAACAGAAAACGCTGCACGTGAGTACTCGTGCTATTTGCGTACTTTTCTTTGTACAAATTATTGGATCACATTATGCCTAAAAGCTACCAAAAGTGTCTTTCAGGGGCACCCAACGACGGTTTCTTCCTAGAAACATTGAAAACAAATTTAAATCCTTAGCCCTTGTAGATATCTAGAAATGTATTCTAAGCGGGGCTATAAAGTTTGTGCCTGCCGGTAATCCTAGGGGAACTTGAGCCCATTCGAAATTAAAAGGGCTTAAGTATTATTTCCGGAAAATTTTACGTGTAATTTAACGTATTACGACAGTGAGAATTTTTCTGATTCCTTTCTCCATCACATTTTTGAATCCGGGAGTGAAATGTGAAAAATTAAACTTCAGAAAACCGTAGGAAAGTTATTAGATGCCTTCGAAAATTGTACATAAATAGAACGGTCATCCAGAAATTTTTAGCCATCCTGAAGTAATTGGAAATTCTAGGCAATATTTTCCTTCTCCGAACAGTTATTTTACAGAAAACAGTCGTTGGGTGCCCCTGGTTTTCCAAAATATCTGTTTGGAGAAGGAAATATTTCCCACAAATTTTAGGATCGTATTTTTACCCCAAACAAACACTGTAATTTTACTAGAACCGTACTGTGGTACTATTACAAAGCCTGGGTTACCTGTCAGGTCCCTCACCGTATTAGACACTGCCGTACCCACTACTTTCAAGCGCCCACTACGCTGGCTAGCTAAAATTTATGTAATTGCTAATTGTACAGGGTTTTGGAATAGTAGTGTTTTATTTATTTTTGAGTACTGTCTATATTAACTGATCAGTGAAAGGAATTAGGACAGAATGTAATGGTGATTCTTGTTGTTTGTTGTAGGCTCCTCTTCAGTTTCAAAGTCCACTCAAGGGAAAACCAATTATTCTCGTCTATGTCGTCTGCTGATCAGCATAGGCTCGCGAGTGCTAAGAGATACATTCGACAGCATTATTCCACCGGGGAATCTTCGAGAATTGTTGAAACGTGACCCGGCGCACTCCAGACTAAAGTTACTGCGAAAGAATAGAGTCCTATCTTCAGTTCGTTGGAGTAAATTGTACCCTGCCACACCCACTGAAGTGTCATCTGCAAGCTTTGATATCCCCCTCTTGATAGTGCTTCTTAGGACAATCTGTAATTTGAGTCCTCCACTCGCTGGCTGGGACACACCTCCTCTTACAGCAGACACCAGTCGCGAGTCTGACATTGCGCGTATTAAATACTTCATGAGCGCCGTGTCCAAACATGCCACGGAAGGCTCTTTAAGTGATACTGTATTCAGTAGCTACTGGCAGCATATCCGTGAGACACTAGTGAGGTTGGGAGGAGCGGATTATGGACATGTCATTGATGAAATGAAAGACCAGGACATTGAATTCCTCGATGAGGAACATTTCAGAGAACTTCTCAATCAGTGGAAGAAGGTAGAAGACGACATCAAAGAGAAGCTGAATGAACTGGAAACTAAAGAAGCTTCTAAGGAGGAAGGTATGCTTTACAGTAGACCTTTAGCAGCTCGGGTGCCTTTATGGGATACCATCCTCAGTTACCAGAGATTAAAACAAACAGTGGTGGATCTGCCAATTTTTAGGTTTTTAACGGGGAAAGACTTTATATATAATAATTATTAAAAGGCGATGGATCTAGCAATTTTTCCATACTTTTTAAAACCCCTTTAGTTTTGCAGACATCCCAGAACATATAACCTCTTAACTTTATGGTCAATCGTATAATAGTAATAACAGTGTACTTTTTAACCTGGGCAGTATTTATAGCACTGATGATAGTGGGGCCTAGCAAATGCCCGGAATAAATAATTCAAATCAAATTAAAGAAATTAAATAGAAATATAATTAGTTTTTAACGAATGTTCCTACATACTCCTATCTTTGGTATTGCTTTACCCCAAGTTATGATATCCATTTGCTGTAGACTTCCGAAAGTAACGGTCTACCCGAAAATAACGGCTACCCGAAAGTAACATCTATTTTTTAAGTTTCTTTTGAATCCCCAAAGTAACGGCCTCACCATGACGGTCAACCCGAAAGTAGTAACACCGCGATTAGATGCATCCATAACTGTCTGTCGACCTACATTCAGGGCCTCTTTTTTGTTAATATTGTGGATTTGTTTATGTGGGTAGTAACATGCATAAATGGAATGTAACGGCTACCCTAAAGGAGCGGCCCCTTTTGCCTACAACATTCGAAAGTAACGGGGGCCGTTACTTTCGGAATTGTACGGTAGTTTTTACAAAAGTAAAACTCACAGATGGCCCTAAAACTTTGTGCCATGATTGCTGTTCAGTAGCAGCTGCTACAGAAGTTGTTTTTATTGTGATTGACTCAATTTAGTTGAAGTTTTCAAAAGAGAAAGTATGCTAGACACTTTTTTTTTTAATTATACCGTAATAGATGTTTGAACTGAATGGGTAACAGAAAACCAGCCAATTCAATTCAATTGAATTGGTGTGCGTCGTGCCTCACATTTCCACTGAAACAGTTTCAAAGGTATTGTCATATATGTTTAATTTATAGGATGGAGGGCTGTCATAACCATCCTACATACCCTTCACATGATATACGTTTACACACGTGATTTATTTCTTGTGTTCAAAATTTAGGTTTTTTTCTCGTCCATTTTATTTTAGATCATGACTCTTCAAATTCCCAGAGCTCATTTAAAGTAACCGACAGCGTTTCTCAGGAGACGGTAGGCTTGTCTGAGAATCATGGAGGTATTCAGATTGAAATTCTTTAAATAAATCTAATCTTAAATCAATCAACTCAAGTTTTATTTTGGCTTATTCTATTTATTGTCAATATTGTATTGCCTTTATTGTTATTTGGTCCTTCTACTAGAACCTTGAATTGTAAATTTAAAATTTGTTTATGCTTAGCGTGCGTATATCGAGTTATGGATGCACGCGGGAAGTTTTGACTCTAGCTTCTTGAGTGCTCTCCAAACTTCCCAAGTGCATCCATAACTCGATATACACACAGCTAAAAGCATGAGCAAATTCTTTTAAAACATAGGTGGCAAAAATTCTTGCTTGCTTTTTGATAAACTGCGTTTTGAATGACGCGCGAAAGAGAAAAAACAATTTCAATTTCATTGGCTACAATCGTGTAGTTTGAAAGAAACTTCCTTCTGTAAAACTGAGTAAGAAAATTTGGTTATTTATTCGTTGTTAACGATCAGTGGAAACTAAGCAGAAACAAACGTAGTCCACCTAAAGTTAAAATACTGATATGTTCGTAAGAAGTCGTGGAGGTTTGGATTCGCTTAAATCCAAAAGACTTGTTTTTTAGCGAAGACAACTGTCATCCTACTTTATATTCCTTTTACGAACAATGGCTGGTCATTACGGCTTCTTGAGAAGACCTGGCAGCAGTTGTTTCGCGCTATGTTATAAATGTCTTTGCCCCCCCCCCCCCCCCCCCTTCCCCCCCCGCTTTGTTCTTTGGCTTTTTTGGGGGGGGGAAAAATTTATTTAAAAAAAAATTTTTTTTTTTATAAAAATTTTTTTTTTTTTTTTTTTAGGAAAAAATTTTTTTGGTAAGAAATGTTTTTTTTTCTGGTTTTCCCCCCTTTCTTATTACCTTTTCTTCCGCCCCCTGCTTTTTTTTAGGGCGTCCCCCCCACACAAGAGATTTTGGTTTCTCTTAAATCCAAAAGATTTTTTTTTTAGAGAACAAAACTTGCTCCCTATTTTATTTTCCTTTTCCGAACAATGGCGGGTCTTTACGGCTTTTTGAGAAAACCCGGCAGAAGTTTTTTGGCGCTTTTTTTTAAATGTTTTTGCCCCCCCCCCCCCCCCCCCCTTTCCCGCCTCGATTAGTTCCTAGGCTATTTGCGGGCGGGAAAATATTTAATTAGAAATAATGTTGATTTTCAATAAAATTTGTTCTTTGTTTTTGTAAGGGAAAATCTTCTATGAGCGAGAACTGATGCTCTTCGCGTTTTCCCCACTCTAATTATACCCTGTCTCACGGCCTCACTGAGTTTTGAGCGCTTGCCACGCAGACAAGAGTTTTGAAGCACGTCAGAAAGTTTAACAAACCAGACTACGAGTAATTACTGCTTTTTTTCTAGGTCTAGATTTGTCATACCCAACCTCCGATGTCATTGAAAAGATCCGTCAGCTCTTCAAAACACGTGAACAACGCCTTCTACCCGTCCCTTGGTTAGAAGATTTTAGCTTTCATATGAATGATATCTTTACCAGATTAAGGATCGTGGGTAAAGGAAAAACCCAAGGAGTACTTAATGACGATATAACCGATATGACTGCCATCTTTATGCCCATAAAGGAAATGGAGAATGGAGAAGGGAAAGAAAAAAAGCCACGAACAGTCTTGATCGAAGGAGATCCTGGTATGGGAAAAACCACTTACTGTCAAAAGCTGGCGTATGATTGGGCAACTAAGCAGAACGAATGGGACCCTTCTTTTCCAGAGATTGAAGTGTTATTGCTTCTAAAATGCCACGAATTTAAATCTGACATCTGGGAAGCTATTGATGATCAAATTCTTCCCGAGGAAATGGATGATGCAGCCAAGGAATGCTTCTTTAAATTTATTCGTGAAAATCAGTCCAAGGTTCTCTTAGTACTCGATGGACTGGACGAAGCGGATCCTAGTAAACTCAAAATGATCTTTAACCTTGTTGAAGGTAAACAACTCTCAGATTGTTACATTGTTCTCACCTCACGTCATGAGGTTGGAAGGAAAGTCTGGAGGTACTGTGACATTCTTTGGGAGATTGTAGGATTTACCCAGGAAGATGCAAAAAGCTTTGTTCGTCAATACTTTAAAAACATTAACAAAGAGCAGTTAGCCTCCAAACTTTTGGAAATGGTATGGTCAGTTGAGTCAAAAAAGACTGAAGAACTGCGCGAATTGACAAAAAATCCCTTAAACACTGCTTTACTGTGTGTTATTTTTGAGGATTTCGAGGGCGTATTTCCAACGAGCAGAACCCAATTATACATTGAAATTGTTCTTTGTGTTTTAAGAAGATATGAACAAAAGCAAGGATTATCGAGCGAGAATGAAGACCTCATGGCCGTCTATAAAGAAGACTTATTATATCTTGGAGAAATGGCTTTACAGTCTCTTCGAAAAGGAGAGTTGTATTTTGAACAGCATAAATCATGCGCTCGCCTCATTGCCTTATCCAAGTTCGGATTCCTTTCACTTCAGGCTGCTGGCAGTAAGAGGAGAGCTCGAATCCGGTACGCCTTTCTTCATAAGAGCTTTCAAGAATTCTTTTCTGGTTTTTATCTTGCTTGCAAACTTATTGAGGGAGATATTAACTGTGAATCAGTAGTGACTGACCGTAGGTATAATTATGAGCTGAAACAAGTGTTTCTATTTACGATTGGAATATTAGCTTCAACGAGTGAGAAAACAGCAGAGTCTTTCGTAGAAAGTATGGCTGTAAATATCAATAGTGACAAGTCACGTCTTTTATTTGCCTTAGATTGTTTATCGGAGTACGGAAGTTTTGTTCACACCTTAGGGGAGCACCTTAATTTTACCCGTTTGACTATTCCCTTGGAAGTTGATGTAGAAGGTTTAAGTGGAGCGTGCTGCGGTTTTGTTCCTATGATGAATAGTCTTAGTGAATCTGGTGCTGCGTCTCTTTGCCTGGCTCTTTCAGCTAACTCTTCCTTAACGTATTTGAATTTTGGTTGTAATACGATTAGTGATGCTAGTGCCACGTCTCTTTCCCATGCTCTTGCAGTCAACTCCTCTTTAACTGAGTTGGTTTTGGAGGAGAGCTTGCTTTGTGATTCTGGTGCTGCGTCTCTTTCCCAGGCTCTCGCAGTCAACTCCTCCTTAACTAATTTAAATTTGAGGGTCAACAGGATTGGTGATTCTGGTGCTGAGTCTCTTTCCAAGGCCCTCGCAGTCAACTCCTCCTTAACTAATTTGGATTTAAGTGAGAACAGTTTAGGTGATTCTGGTGCTGCGTCTCTTTCCTGGGCTCTCGCAGTCAACTCCTCCTTAACTAATTTAAATTTGAGGGTCAACAGGATTGGTGATTCTGGTGCTGAGTCTCTTTCCAAGGCCCTCGCAGTCAACTCCTCCTTAACTAATTTTCAACAGGATTGGTGATTCTGGTACTGAGTCTCTTTTCAAGGCCCTCGCAGTCAACTCCTCCTTAACTAATTTGGATTTAAGTGAGAACCGTTTAGGTGATTCTGGTGCTGCGTCTCTTTTCAAGGCCCTCGCAGTCAACTCCTACTTAACTAATTTAAATTTGAGGGACAACAGGATTGGTGATTCTGGTACTGAGTCTCTTTTCAAGGCCCTCGCAGTCAACTCCTCCTTAACTAATTTGGATTTAAGTGAGAACCGTTTAGGTGATTCTGGTGCTGCGTCTCTTTCCTGGGCTCTCGCAGTCAACTCATCCTTAACTAATTTGAATTTGCGTAAGAACGGTATTAGTTATTCTGGCGCTGCATCTCTTTCCCAGGCTCTTGCAGTCAACTCCTCCTTAACTAAGCTGAATTTGAGTAGGAACAGCATTGGTGATGCTGGTGCTGCATCTCTTTCTCAGGCTCTTGCCGTCAACTCCTCCTTAACTGAGCTTAATTTGAGGTGGAACGTTATTGCTGATTCTGGTGCTGCTGAACTGTCCAATGTGTGGAAGGTAAATGCAACTGCTAAACTGTTTTGGTAGAGCATGATAAAGATGATAAATTGACCGTGAGGGTGATTACAATCTTGTGATGCGGAGAAGGAGAAAGACAAAGACAAGTATGTAAATAAGTAATGTTAAAATGAGGACGATCGTAATGATGATAATCCTTGTATTTAGAATAAAGGTTTTTAAAGTGAAGGACAGTCAAACGGATCGTCTTCGGAGTATTATTTGTGAATATTCAATAGAACTTTTGTAATTCGTAATTTGTTTATTTGTGCATTGTTTGTTTAAGCCAATAGAAAACGGAGTAATATTTTGAATTACAAAAAATGTTTTAATTTTGCTTACCCCCAAACGACAACCATCGATACATTCAGTTTTTTCAAGTTTTATCTTACAAGTACAACCGAACGTCGATCAAGCAGTCACTTTGGTCTAGGGGAAGGGACAATTGGCCTCTTACTTGAGGTCTGGCTTTCAGTGATTTATTTGGCCGCTAAGTTGAGGAACGCTGTTTGATATAGTTTCGACTGTACATTACATGTAGCGTGGTCTTTGTGTAATCTCTAGTTTGCATCCTTTCGTAGTCATTTAAAGAATCAGAACTTTACTGGACGTCAATGTAATAACTGCGTTTGATATTTTTCTTAATTAATTGTGATTGATTGTGTACAATTTTTTTAAGTATCTTAAACATAGCTAGGAATTTTCCATTTGTATTTTAAGTGGCATTGATTCTACTTAACCTGTTTTAGATTTTTATGCTTTTTAGTTCTTAGTTTTTAACTGCATGTCAATCACTTTTAACATGAGCCTCCGGCTCGGGAGACTGGGTGACCACTCGCTCCTCGATCTCCATAATTCTTCATAAGATACTCAGCCTCATTCATTAATTGTTAATTATCTTATCTCTTACTTAGTACCGCCTGTTCTTACAGCCACACGTGTTAATTAAAACTATTGTTTTATTTGTAATTGTTGTTTTTGGTTTCCGTATTCTAGATGCCAAAAAGACTGACTCATGGCAAATGAGTAGTAACAATGTCACTCCCGAGAACTATGTTTCGCTAACTGTCTGTGACTCGTATTAAGCTGGGTGTCTGGGTATTTTAATCCATTAACTGTATATTTCGGTCCATTACAAACTCTAAAAGTGATTCTGAGTCCTGCATAAGTTATCAGAAACACGGGCACGAGTGTGAGGTATCTATCAACAAATGACAAAGCGTGCACATTTTCAACCCGCGACCACGCCCAAACAAGAGAAATTATCACCTGCTGGTGCGCCAAAGCCAACGCGAAACGACTACTTACGTGGGAAAACCGAAAAGTTTGATTTGGAAAATCGGATGTTCCTCCCATTTTGTCAAGTTAGGAAGGTCTAGAAAATATGGGTTGTCTCATTAGGTAAAGAGATTTCTATACTCTTTTTAGTGTCTCGGTTCCAGCTGAGTTGAATGTACTTTTTAGCTGGTCCTTCAGCCAAAAGCTCAAATTTAATTTTTGTTCAATGTACTTTGTGCCCAAGAATTTCGATTAAGCGGAATATTTGTGTAAAGGTACGTTAGGACCTCTGATCTGCCTGCTCGCAGGTAACCTCCACAGGTCACTTGAATTACCCGGAAAAAAGCGCTGACTAAGTAAACTCGAGTAACTCAATGATAGCTTAGAATCACTTTTACTACAAAGAAAGGTAGCTCCCTGTTCCTCCTATGCAGCATAATCTACTGAACTGATACTACAAAGTCCGCTAAGTAGCTCCAAATGTTTTGCTTTAATTAGTTGTAGTCTTAGCAATGCGCTTAACTGTGATGATTATATTAAATACATCTTTGCTCATGTATTTACTTTTTAATATTTTGAAAGTGTTTCTGCATATCTCATTAATTAGAGAATCCTGATGAGGGTAAAATTGGGACTTCGAATGGCATGTTTTAGCTCTGGGAAAATGGGATTTTGGTCGTGGGACAGGGACTCGCTCACTGGATAATGAAAACAAAGTTTACGAAGACTTGGAGGTGATAAAACCTCTTTAACCGTCCTACAGTATCTATTTAAATACAGTGAAAAGGTCCCTTTTGTGACTGTTGTCCTTGAGAGTTCTAACTTTAAGGCAACTCTCAGTTTCTTACCTTTGTGTCATCGTTGGGTAGTTCTTAGAAAATATAAGAGAAAACAGTTGATATGTATAAAGCTGCTGTGATCTTTTTGTGAATTATTTCTACCCCAGAGAATAGGATTTGGACACTGGGAACTGGTAATTTGAGGAAATTTGGCTTCTCAAAATAGCACATTCTTGATGATTATCAATCACGTGACTGTAGCTTGCTAAACTGTAGTATCCAGGGGCGCTTTCCGTGCAACAAAAATTCCGGTTTGAAATTTCGAAAATTACACGTGCCCAATAGAATGGTGCATTCCGGTTGCACAGACCCGACCCTAGCCACCGCTCGTTTGGTTATTAATGTTCTTGTAAGCAGGATACAAAAGAGCAGTACTGGAGACAACAATTTTGTCAAATGGAAAGGGATATTTCAGTCCGACCGACCGAGATAACCAGACCGGTCAAAGTGGACCACCTTCAAAGCTGGTCCCGAATATTCCGGTCGGACCAAACCGAAATGGTCCGTTCCATTTGATGTACCAACCGAAATTTCTAGAAGTTTTGGTTGAATAGAAAGCGCCTCAGGCTGCGTCACTATGAAGATTCCGTACCCATTGATGCCAACAGAGAACTCAGACTGAATATGAAACAGGAAACATAAAGATCTCACCCTTACATTTCCAACATAGTTTACTATCTAGAAAAAAAAGCCAAAACGTTAATTTTTTTAAGTGGAAACGTTAAAAGGCAGTACGATACGTATTGACAGGGTGCAAAATGACAGTATAACTTTGGAGAAAAATATAAAGTTCCCTGAAATTCAAATTGTGAGGTCATTTATAGGTAGCCAACCTAATTTGCTTATAACTTTAACTTTATTATCGTTGGTGAAGGTGTCCAACATAACTGGACCTAATCGTTTCTGGATATCATAAATTCGATCGAGGTCACCTCATAGAGCTACATGCCTTTTGAAAAATGTTGGAGGCTTAGAAGACAAAGTCTGGAATTGAAGTTTCTCAGTTGAAGTCATGCTGAATATGCAAGTATCAACGATAGATTTAGATGGATTACAACAATGGGCGTAGCAGGAACTTTTGCCGTGTTGATATGGAAACATTTAGTTTTAGCCTGCGAGGCAAGCTGTCCGGGAGGCTCTGTTGAGCGCGAACATAACGTCATCGTCCGTCATCGTCACCTCAAGCCTTGTGCCAAGACCACGTAAATTATACGAGACATTCTTAAATCTAGAAGATCCAGTAATATACGGTGCGCCTTGTACAGCATAATTAACGATTGAAACTGTCGACGTAATCTAAAGATTAGACATATATCCGCTATTATTATTATTATTATTATTATTATTATTATTATCATTATTATTATTGTTATCAATACAATTTTGTACCGAGCAGTTTCTATGAAAATATTTAACTGCGCCTTACATAAAAAAATTAATTAAAGATGGAAAATCGTAATTAAAAGCCGTACTAAATAAGAAGGTTTTAAGCCTTTTTTTAAACAGATTTAACTATATTTAAAAGGGTCTCATCTGACAGGATTCGAATAGTTTAAAGTGGTTCTAATTGATAAATAATAGTTAGAGTTCTCCATTTTATTAGCCTCGACATTACCAATACCCACAAGAAGAGGAGTACAATATTCCAAATGCGGGAGCGCTTATAGAGACGTACTGTTGCATCCTTCGAATTAAATTTGCGTAGTCTCTTTTCTAAGGTGTTCTTCTATGTGCGCTTTGAAATTCAATTTGCTATCCAGAATCACCCCTAGGATCTTAGGTGTATCTAATTCTCTACAGTTCTATCATTAAGATGAAATTAATATTCGTATATAGATTGCCCAAAGGTAACTGCTTGCGTTTTTGCTCCATCAATGTTTACTTAGATTCAAACCAGCTTGATAGCACGCTAAGATCAGCTGCAACACCACTGGAGAGGGATCCGAGGCATATTCAGTCGTATCGTCGCCATACACCCTCAAAGACGCATTACACATAAAGTAATTGAGATTCACATAGAAATTGAATAACAGGGTCAAGCAAGGATCCCTGTGGTACACCGGCACTTATCGCCCCCCACAATAGAGGAAAAACACATAAACTTTAACTCAGTCTTCTTCCTAATTAAGAGATAAGCATTCATAAGTTCCAAAGCATTATTTGTGAAACGGTACGCCTTCAATTTGGGGGGGGGGAACTCCTCATATGAAAGTGGTGGGGATGCTCGTCGTCTCGCTTAGGGCTGTAAATTTCGGATTTTGGTCGCACTTAGGGTGTTCTGGGCAAAACGCTATCATATTTAGCCGTGAAGGTCTCGTTTAGGGTTGCACGCGAAAAAATATAAAAATATACATATTTTCTGTGTTCTAACATGGTCTCTTTTAGGGATTAAAAAAGCTTAGGCCACGCCCAGAGCGGTCTCCCTTAGGAGTTTAATTCAAAATTTCCGACGAGTATCCCTACCCATTTCATATGCGGAGTCCCCCCCGAATCGAATGCCTTGCTTTGATCAAGAGCCACTACTGCAAAAGCCTCCCTTCTGTCAAGAGATGCTCTCCAATCGTCAGTCCGCTGTGCAACACGAATGACTTTACAGATAGCCAGATAGATTTGGTGAGAGCCTCTAATAAGGGCCTCGTACATTTGATGAAACATCACCTTCTCATACGACACTTTTTAAGCAGGAAAGAGAAATTATCAGCATCGCACAAAAACACTTGTTCGCCGCCATTGATGCGACGGATGACGAGAGCTCTTGTGTCTAGCGAAGATTCACCTAGCCTGGCCAGGCTTTCAGACAGTACAGTACAGTGGATCATGTAAAGCAAAATGCAAATTGAAATTCAATCAGCATTTCGCATTTCCGTGCAAACAGACGAAACATTGTTCGGGCCAACAACTCCCTACATTGTT